ACAGCAGGCAACTGACATGCATGAAAACCAACCTTCTTCCTTGCTTCCCAGGCTAATTCTCAGCAGGATCAGTCTCCTGATCCAGATCACTGAGTAGCTGCATGATTGATACTATGAGTCGCAAGGGAAGGAGGCAGGAGCAACAGCTTGAGGGTAGGGAGGGAGATCAAGTCTCAACCAGCACTGACAACATATGTCAGATTAAACTGCTTGTGGAATGAAAGTGTGAGAGAGAAGGAATTACACACAGGAATGTTCAAGCAGACTACCACAGCTATCAAACTTAATGACAATTCCATTAACTTCAGCAGCACTGTGTGTGGACTTTGCTAACACGACAAAAACCTACATGAAAAATGTATCGCTCCACTGAAGTATCTTTCCCTTAGTTTTAGAAATATTATTACTAAAGCATGATATGTATTTTAATTAATCTCAGTTGAAAGGCTGGAGATGGTACTTAAGAACACATCTGATACGGTTAGGGCTACTAACATCTGTTTTGTCTCTTTTAAAACAGATGGTAGAGAACTCTGATTTACCATGTTCTGCCCTATTACTTCTGCATTTGCACAAGACTGCTGTATTTGAAGAAATTTAGCTGAAAAATCTAACATATCAAAAGATGCTGCCTACTTATTAACTGTGGAATCTCATTTTTGTGAATGAGAACTTCCAAGTTCAATAAAGCATCTACTTTTTAGAAAATAACATAGAAGCAAGTGGTATCATCAAGCAGGGTAAAAGACTCATCTCCCCACCTTAAACCCTAGCATCCAGATCTACTATGGGCACAACTTTTTAGTCAATAGTTCCAACAGCTTGGACACAAAGATAAGCCTCAAGCAGACAGCATTCCCAGTGCCAGTACTGCTATCTGAGCACATATACCTCACAATGGAAGCGACCGCAAATTTAACAGCCTCATCAGCATCCATTTCATAATCACTGAAACAACATCTTCCACATAAAGCATTTTACATCAACAACAGCTAGCTACAAACAAGGCCACGGTGTACTTGTGTGTTGGCAAACTTTCTCCAGCACCTTCAGAACTAGTTCTGAAATATGCTGCAGTACCTGCATATTGTTCTGATATATTCCTGGTTAGTTTTAAGTTAAAAAATGAGATGATAACTTTATATACATTTTAAATGGCTCAAAATGCACACCTTTTTTTTTTAAAGGCTATTTTCCCAAATCTCCATTTTTATATTTTACACAAAGAGCAACTCAATTTCTAATGGATTTCCTGTTACAGTGATTTCCTTCTCACCTAATAGTTTCATAATTAGATGGTTTCCATCTATCTTAATACTTAAGAGAAAAACAAACTCACTAAAATCACTAAGATCTGAGGTTCTGGTTACACCTGTGTATACCTTGTGTCTTTTAAAATATCAGATAAAAATATTGCGTGGGATTGAACGACTTTTTAAAATTTATCCCCCAATAAAGATTAAGTTAAACCATGAACATCTATGCATTTTTCCTGCATTTTGCTTCCTTGCATGATACACCAGAACGGACACGGTTCACTGTAGGACTAATCACCGTGTGCCATTTCCCTAACAAGTAGTAAGCTCTAGTAAGATCTCACCTTCAAAGGAAATGAGCCTAAAATTTGCTTTTTTAGGTGTAGTTCTTCCAAAACACACCTTAAACTTCTCCTTAAAACTCTCCAGGGATCTTTATGCTAATAAAAGGGCTCTAGCTGGTTCCTTGACACTAGCCACTGCTAATTTCCACCTTGAAGCGTGTTCCAGTTTTAGACTTACGGTCATTCTCCCCCTCAAAAACAGTAAGCTCAGGAAGTAAACACCCTTATCTCTCATGACGTGCATCATGGCACCTTCACTATGACAAACCCAAGTTGCAAAGAGAACAAGCACACCGCTGCCTACCTCGGCTACTGCACTATCATGTTTCTCTGCTCTCCCCTACCACTGCATTGTCCCAGTTTAAGTCTCATATCTAAGAATTTCAGCTCCATCCAGGATCTGTTCAATGGCTTCCTTCCCACCTCTTCTCTCCTTCAGAGTCTGTTGCAGAAGGTATCCTTATATTCCTCCAGCTTATCCCTCAGCAAAGCTTCAAAGCGCAGCAAAACCAGATGCCTACCTTACAGGAGGTAAGTGAAGATGACCAGTGCTAACACAGGAGCCAGGTCAAACAACAGGCTTCATCCTCCTAATGCACAAATACACAGGTTTTTCTGGGTCTTTTCTCCCTTGTTCCTCCTCTTGTCAGCCTAGTGAGCCAGGCATACTTGCTGAATCACCTGAAAGCTTATTAGTCCTACATTTAGGTTGTTTTTTCCATCTCTATATTGACAGGTTTACCCTTTATCAGGTATCTTTGTCTATTCCAAAGGACTAATAGAGGATCCAGAAACTTCTTCAAACATACCACTGACTGAAGTATAAAGATAACAAACCGAAGACCTCTATTAGCAAAATAGCTCATGCGCTTGTTTGCACACCAGGGAAGTAACATAGACTCCCACAGAGAACAAGTGCCACTGCAGACATTACCTATCAGACAACACTCAAGGAAATTCTGCCAAGCAAAAGCTAGTAACATGAACAGAAATAATTCTTCCTTCATCAAAACATACGCTAGCAGCTCTTTATTTGTTTATTCTATTCATGTAATAGTCTCTAAAATTAATTTCTCATGAAGTATTAATGACATTTCAGAAACAACAAGCATTATGTGGTTTATATTGGTTACAACATACATGCGTTGCTTCATTTATTGAACAGTTATAACATTTTCCAGTAATCTCACTTGAGAAGGAAAACGTGGTCAGAGTTCTGAATCAGCCTTCTACCTAAGCAAATTTATGAATTCTAACAATTAAAAGGTTTTCCTCCAGGCTATGCCAATTCTTTACCTTTTCTCCCCAGTGCTATGTGGGAAGTTTTGCTGATCCAATCTGCAGAACTCCCAAGACTGCAAGGCACTTCCTGCAGATGCTGTTCTTATGGCAGGTGTTTTGGTTGGTGTATTTGGGGTCTTTTGTTTTTTTCTGTTTTAATTCAACCATTTCAGATTTCAATCCAAACCATGTGATTCCCTTCAAGAAATCTACTGTTTAGAGGACGTAAAATCCCATTTTTTTACTCTAAAGATTGAAGAACGTTGAGAAGTTCTACATGCAAATTTCCACATTCCAACATCTAATTGATATGCCCTGCAGGGATCTTAAGAGATAATGATTTTCCCTGTAGAGGATTTTTAAATGATATGGCATAATCTCATTTACTGAAAAATGCAGGAGCCTTATTTTGCTATTTCTTACTTAGGTAATACACTCACTGCTTTTCCAGGGAATGGTCCTTATCTAAGAAAGCAGCAAATTCTGCACAATGAACATGCCATTAATGCTAATATAATCTTATCATGCACATAACATATTCTCTGTTAGGACAGATCTATAATCATCAACAATTTCACCTGTGGTTTACCTTGAGATTAAAAAAAAATGGAGTAAAAAAACTAAACAAGAGACTTCCATTTTACTATAGGAAATTAAACCCCTAGCAACTTAAATGACTATGGAAAAAAGTCAATATTTTAGTCAAAATTAGATTTTAGGAGTTTCTGGTATCAGATGCAATACTGAAAGAGTAGGTTTTCAATTAAAAAGCTACATCTGGATGGATAACAATGTATTGTGAAGATGCACTTGTACCCCCGGAGAAAAAAAGAAGCTAAGAGAAGCTATTCGTGAATTCTTATAAGCCAGCAGTTTTCTTACAAAACCAGTAACACATTAAACCAAATAGAGTGAGATGTGAAACACAGAATTCTAAATGTTATAAAAACAAGAAATTGAAACTGAATGATTCAAGAGAAAACACAGCTCTCTGATATTTTCAGAATATCACATTTCCTTGGTAGAAGTTTCTTTTTCCCCAAGTCTTAAAGTTTATTCAACAAGCATAAAATGGAATTCTCAAGCCTGTAAATTGAACAAATTAGTAATATTTGCTCTTCACCTTCTATTTCAACTACATTTAGGATTCAAAAACAGGACAAGGTAAGATTATTTAGGCTACTGTATAAACTAGAGTGTTCTTCAGAGAACTAGTGATTTTGAAATTATGCAGCTTCCTAGTAAATCCTTCTGATTATTACCCCCTTTTGGTATTTTTGGTGGGTAGTGATGAAGTGGGTAGAAGCAGCTCAGTATCAATTGACAGATATTTTATAGCCTTGGGACAGCTGCTTAAGGGACCAGAAGCGCAAGTTGTGTTCTCCTCTATCCCTTCAGTGGCAACTAGGAATGAGGAAATTAACAAAAAGAGACAACAGGTCAACTCATGGCTCTGGGATAGATACCATTGGAAGGACTTCAGGTTTTCTGATCATTGGCTACTATACGAGACACTTGGCCCGCTGGTGGCAGGTGAGATGCACCTGTCCCAGAACGGGAAAAGGATTTGGGGGCAGGAGTTAGTAGGGTTCATTGACAGAGCATTGAACTAGATATGAAGGGCTAGGAAGCCCCATGAAGGGCTGCAGAAGCTTTTGTATCTCTAATCAGGAACATGACATAGGGAGTGAACACACTTTCTGAAAGATATTAAGTAACAAAAACTTATCTTTAGCTGTGCTTGTTTGTTTAAAAGCTCAAATTTTTGAGCTGCTAATAATCAGAATTCCTACTTCAACATTCAGAGACACAAAAACAAATCAAGTGGTAACACGTATTGCTTTCTAAGAATAAAAATACTCCCCATTTGCAAATTTTTACAGCTTTTGAGAACTCCTCATCAATACAGACTATTACAACTCCTATATTAAACACTAAGAAAAAAATAAATTAACTGCATATCTACCCTTGCTTTATCATTTGATCTCCATTTG